GAACGGAATATGAATTAGTCGTCTAATGCCAAATTTCATTACAAAAGCGAAAAAGCGTGTACACTCCGCTGTACATTTGATTGTGCTGCTGACATCAAACATCATAGACACTGATATTCCATAGATAATTAGTGATAATTAGTCTGATTATTATCTATAAGGTCTCCAGGTGAATATTCTTTTTATTCTCATATTACACTGCCGCCAATTGATAGAATCGCCATTGAAGTCTATGAATTCATTACTAGACAGTACCAACTTGATTATAATCAACTAAAAAAAGTGCATCCACTGTTCGATGCTGAACATTAGGGAAAGAGAGAAGGAAGTGGGAGCTTTGCAGCAGGAACGAAATGCGATAAATGTCGTGAATATGAAAAGAAAAAAAGTAAATGGTCCCGAAAACGTTTGGTAGCGGTGAAAAAGACCTTCCGGGGACCTTCCTTGATAGGTCACTGCAACGTATTCGCACCAACTGCAGGCCAGATGTTAAGCGCTGTAGACCAGTTCTGATTTGGGCTTTGAGCAATTTTGAAAAAATGGAGCAATAGGAGTGAAACCCTACGTGCAGGTTGTATCTGATAGGGCAGAGCGCCAGAATTTGTGCTCCATTCGGAGCGCAACCATTTGTTGCTTGAGCAGTTTGGGCACTACATTGCATGCGTTGGGGTGGCTGATTGGAGCCAATTTCGGAATTCTTTTTTTTTCAAAATGTGATGACAGGGGCACTGTATGTAAAGAATGGAAATCGATGTACACGAAATGATCATTTTCCAGAGCATGACACCACCAGAGGGCAAAAGTAGAGGGGAGTGGTCGAGAGAACACCAAATTCAGCTTATTCGAGGTCGCATGGATTACAGGGTTCCCTCCCAGTCCCTCCTTCACAACCTCCTCGTGTTGGTACTTCCTCAAGAGTCAGTGAATGGTCCACGAATAAAAGGATAAAAATATGACAATGAATCGTGAAAATGGGAAGCGAATGTGTGGGGTCAAAAAACTGACTGCTTCAATTCACTTTGTTGAAGTTGAGACATATTGATGAGCATAGAGGACTTCGAAAAATCTCAAGAGAGCGACATGTAGGCTTGACTGAGTAATTCTGCCAGTGTTTAAGCAGATAGAGAACCATATGAAATGGGTTCAACAAAGACAGGAACAAATTCGCTAAGAAAAAAGTATGAAAACAGCAGCTTCCGCTTCCGTCACAGTCATGGGAATCTAATAGAATAACTGGTAATTGCTTACGAGTACCTATAAGTTGCAAAAGTCTGAAAAGTGTAGTCAGAAATCAAATTTTATACCGAAAACCTCCTCACCATTGAATTCTCGACATCTTTTCAATTTACTGAGAAAATACTACAGTCTTGCAGTCACAGTCATCACACTTTTGCTATTTTTTGTGAAAAAGCTTGTTATCGTCATAGCTAGCTAAAACATATTCAAAATAGGCTAGGAAATAGGAACTCGAAATTGTACTACGATACGATGTACGATGCTTCGCTTCTACACTTACATGCCCTGAAGATGTTCTCTGCCGAATACATGTTGCTGATTATGGCTCTGAACCCAACTGGCCTCGAACCCTACCATCTTACATCCCCAAAGGTTTTCTTTCGGAAGTTCACAGTGCAACTCTAGCGTTGATCTAAAGAAGTAATAGGAGCCTCTAATTTGACAACCCTTTAAGTCACTGAATAGTCCCAGACAGATGACTATCTCGAGGATAGAGGAACTATCCGGTCTGTATCAAGAGGTTCGACCCCTGCCAGCTGGAACTGGTGCGGCCTAGCCGGAGATCAAATTCCACATCGAAATTTGAAGGTGGCCTTCCTACGGCAGCGATGGTTGACACGGATATGGGTACTTACGTGCGTCCGAGGATGCGCGCGGCAAATTGCGCGGCGAGGTGGGTGCTGGCTCGAACGACTCTGTGGCCTATCATTGGGGTCCACACTCGAAGTAGAGTAGTTTAGTAGGGTCAACTGATACTAGTAATCTACTCTACTTCGAACTTGGACCCCAATGATAAGCGTCAGGCTCGTCCGAGTCCCCACGCACTTCGCCGCGCAATTTGTCTCGCGCACCCTCGGACGCACGTAAGTTCCGTCCCCCGGTTGACTCTTGTCCGCTTGTCGAAAAGGAAAAATACAAAACATGCTCCGAAGACCAACTGACACTGTTATGTCCTGGTACGATCATTACAGTAGAGCCCGGGGGAATGCCGAGTAACCTCGACAAGAGATTGGAGTTTCATTTGCATTGCTGTAGAGAGGAATAGGGGAGAAAAGGAAACAACGAAGTAGCCCTCGCTCACAGTTTGTAGGAGATTGGACAAATTATACTCTAAAAAGCATTGAAAAAATTCCGTCTGCCTAACTTATGACGTACAGCCACTCACTAGCACGGCGACTGAAAGAGCTCTTTAGTACAGCTCCCATGAGCTTTCCCTCAAGTACAGTCTCGTTTCGTTGTTTTGACGTTTTCCATTGACATATAATTGTTTCCGTGTTTCATTTTATAATGAGGTGTGGGAAAAAAATGTGTATGGTTAAGGAATTTCTGAATAGCACAGCGCGATATTACTGTAAGCATTCGAGTTTCTAGTATGGTAGGTGGCCAAAAGCAGGGTTACGAAAGGCCCTACTGACCATTTCTGATAAAGTGGATCATGAAAGCTCCTACTCATGACCCGGCAGTGGTGAATCGACGGCAATTGGAGGCTGGATTCAATCTTTCTTGGAAGATAGGCATGTGTACATCAGAGTGAGTACCAGTCTTCACGATGTCCTCTGAGTGTGATGCGATTCCCGCGTCAATAAAATGAGGCCATCGGACGAGACGCGCCATAACGTCGTGCCTACCATCAGAATGGGAGAAATAAGAACTTATAAAACGTGGGTGGAAAGTGACCAACTATGAATGTTCATAGAGGGATTGTTTTTTTTGGGATCAAAATTGGAGTTATTCTTATTTTGAACAATTGGCAAGTGAATTGTTGACCTATGAAGTGAAGTCCTGATCTCGACGGGGCTTCACTGCCATAACAAAGACATTTGCTCCAATTCATGATGGAGCCGTGGACTACTGCAAATCTTATTTGGTCCATCTCAACAGAAGGGTACGAAGCGATGCTGCGTGCGCGAAGAGCTCTAATGGGGCCACGCTGAATCGCGCACCCCACGGGTCCCCTCACTCCAGCGGTTCCTGCAAGAAGGTGCATTTTTTTCTTTGTTTTCTGTAGCACAACTTACCCTTGTATCACAGTGCTTACCCTCTGATTAAAGTGAAAATGTATGCCGATGACATTGAACATTGTGGTCATAGCAATGAAATCATTACTGGGTACCTCAAGCCCTCACCCAATCTATTCGCATCATGATGGACTGCGCTACTGCTTGGGGAGTACCTGCAACGTTCTGTGCTTCATTTGTCAAAAGATGTAATCGAATCGTGCACTGTCAACAACAATTTACTTACACTTTGTGCGAAATACTTACTTATTCATTTATTTATTTAACTATTTATTCAATACATCTCAAGGGTGTGCCCATTAATCACACAAAAGAAGAAGTTGGGAATCAGAAAGTAGGGTCTCATTCTGCCTATAAGAAGGGATTGAGAGAAATGCGTCCCAGCAAAACAAGTAAAAGATCAGAACTGGAACATTGTTGAGTTAGGCAGAAAGATAAGCATGTTGAGACGTTAATGAAAAAAGAGAGGAGCTAGGGCATTTCATGGTGAGACCGATAGGTTGTTCTCCACTTGTCAAGCAGATGATGAGTTTCCAGCAAGAACCTGGTCCTCGGTCCAGTAGATTTCACGCAACACATCAATGTAGTCGTTCGAAAAGTCTTTTTTAGCGTCCTCAGAAGTGTTCGGTACAAAGATGCCTCTATTTCGTCAGCGCTCCATAAAGCACATGTGGTTTCTACAGTCGAATACAGTTAGCCGATACGGAAACCTCACACCAAGATCCATCAAGTAGAATTTGAAAAAGCAAACAATCATTGGTAAACACTTTTAACTTTCACAAGGAAATTAATGTATAGATGCTACTACTCATGTACTAAAAACAAGCATACTAAAACATTACTGTACAAAGGAATATCTAATGATATAGTATTCTACTTTATACCACTGATGGCGAACCGAAACTATTGCTGGTAGTGCTGAGTAATTAGACCGTGCAGAAGTCGTGTCACTTCGTTGTCTCTGCAATTCAACGAGCTGAATAGGAGTCTTCAAGCAAGTATATTACAGAAGCAGAAGGTGCCAAATGGTGAAGCATTCTAAAGGAAGTAGAGAAAACTAGATTCACTTGCCTCGATAGGCATGCAGGTTTTCTATAGGCGTTAAGCTTGGAGAGTATCCACTTGTGGGTATGGTCTTTCTACTTTGCATTTTATGCCTTCTTGCTTCTATACACTGTAACCGACTTCGTTTAGTAGGGCGCTTCTAAAGAATTCTTCAAATACTGAAAGGTAACGATTGGATACAACGAAAATGTAAATGGGTGAAGAAGCAAAAGGTACCAAGAAAGCGGCTCTCTGATGGACTTTTTTGGTGCATCAATGAGATGAGATCCGGGAGAAATGGAGAAGAAGGTATGTTGTCTCGAAGTTAGAATTCATTTCAGAATTCTCAAAGAAAACCAATATGTTGCATTCCCAGGCGGCTCCCCTTATTCGGATGTCACGTCGGACAAATTTCCACGAAGTTTATGAGCGATAACGCTTCCATGATGGCCGAATAATTTCCAATTTGACTTTGAGATTTGTTCTCGCACATTTGTTGATATCAATTATTGCTTTTTTAGAATTATAGCAACAATTTTAGAGGGAATCAATCTTCAGATTAGCGGTATATAAGGCTGCTCTACCGGAAGGTAGCCATCCACTTCATTTCTATAGTGGCTCTATACCAGCACCACACCACCAGTTCTTCTTGTTTCTGCTAAAATAGCACCTTCATCCATCTTCAATGAAGATCATTTCAGAATGAACTTAGTCGTCACCACATTGCTTGCGATTGCCGCAGCTGTAAGCGCGTTTCCCGATCTGGGATCGCCCAACCTTCAAGGTAGGTAATCGAATCTTTCGAACTGGCTGAAGTGAAGGTACCATATAAGGAATCGAATGTAGTGTCCTCTCTGAAAGAAGCGAGAACGTTCGACCATTACTGGGATTATTATAACCGGATTAAAAGTATTGGGTGATTGTCCAGGGTTCCCGACTCGTAAATAAGATTTTATTAACAGCCAATGCCGGAATGATGGAAGGAATGCCAGGTGTAGTGCGTGAACATCTCATGATGGGACCAGGACCAGTAGTAGTCAAAACTGAAAGGTTTTCAGGTAGGTACCAAAAATTTCTCTAACAAAACGATAACTAGTATTTGTGCCTTACATATTCATCGCATTACTAGTATTGGTAAACATCTGGGGTCCCAGACTTGTGAACGTGCTCTCATTAACCTTGCATTCAGGTGGCATGGAAGGAGTAGGGCCAATGACTGTCTCCGGAGGGGCCGCATGGAGTAGTTCTTCTGGACCAGTGGTAGTCAAAAGTCAAAGTATGTCTCCCCGTCTCTGCATGTGATTCTAAGACAAATTTATTCGGGAAAAGCAATCAGATTTTCATGTTAACTTCAATGATTATGAGTGTGCTCCCATTTTCAAAGTCTGCAGGTAGCGTGCAAGAAATGGGACCAATGACAGTTTCCGGAGGGGCCACTTGGAGTGGTTCATCTGAACATTGGAGTGGTTCAACTGAACATCTCAATCTAGGACCTGGACCAGTAGTAGTCAAAAGTCAAGGTGTGTCAATCCTTTAAGATACAAATTTCCAAATTAGTTTCAATAATAATGAACTGTTCTCCCTAAAAATGCATACAGGCATGCAAGGAGTAGGACCATTGACATTCTCCGGAGGGGCGGCATGGGGTAGTTCATCCGAACATTTCGAACAAGGACTTGGATCAGTAGGAGTCCAGAGTCAAGGTACGTAAGTGAACTTATTTATTCATTCGTTCAGAAGTAACCACAATGAAGTAACTACAATGAAAGTGCAGGAGCCGAGCCGAGTTTATACAAATTGGCAGTATAGAGTGAGAAAAATTATGTACATTTGTACACAGAGATATTATGAAGTAATAGAAAGATATCAAATAGCATAATAAAATAAACAATAGAAATTGGAAAATCTGTGATTTCTTAGTCAGGAGCCTGCTTTGATTGTAAAGAGAGGGGCTGGGAAAAGTAGGAAGCTATGGGGAAAAAGGCACTGGGCAACCAACACTGCAAACCTTAGCTATGATGCGACCTCGGCTACCAATTCAGTAAGTTTTCGAACAGGCAACTAAAGCGGTGTACAGCATGGGTTTAACAGGCTGCCCGCCGTTTTGGTTGGGTGTGAAAAGTCGAAAAAAAGACGGGTTTGGGATTTACAGGCTCTTATCATGATGTGGAAATCACGTAGGCAGCGTGCACTCTATCCTTCGCATCACGAGGAGAGTCGGATTAATTGGTATAGGCGATATCCACGTTTCGCATTCGGTGAATTCGCGATAACGGCCTACCTGACCTGCAAGGGTGTAGGTGAAATTAGAATGAGAATGCGCTTCCAAATCCTAGTTGATTTTTATGAGGAAGTGTCCAAAGACCAGGTTGTGACCGGGATTATACAGTATTTATCGCTTTCCGTCATTTGTCTTGAACGAACTTAAATGCACGCCGAAATACTTAGTTTAAGCAGTCTAGTAAACTCCGAGCTAGCTTTGTTAACAAAAAAGTGGCGTCTGACGTTGCGTTTAGTCCTGGCAATTGAAAATTTTGTAGGGCATCCCCTAGACCCCTAGCTTGAGCCCCGAATGACCATGAAAAATCTTGAAGAACGTTATCAAATCGAATTTCCTCTTTCTGAGCGCTAAAGTTTCAAGATTGAGATTGGCGTTCCGTGTTACTCAAGAAGGAATCTGATCATACTTAAAACTGAGTACTCTCAGGAAAAGCTTTCGAGTAAAAGTATAAGAGTAAAAGTATTTTGAACTCTAATCATGGAGGTAGTAAACATGTACCTTAGAGAGCTCCACTCGGTGGGAAATGAGGTAGGAGGATTTGTTGCTTATAATGACTGACTGCTCTTTTCCTATCGGAGAGGGTTACAGAAACTTCAGAAGCCAAATCCTTATTCCGTATGCACTGAGCCTTCTCAGAAGTAGAGCAATACAGGTTAGAAATACTAGGTCTGTAGTTGAGTAGTTATTCTGTACGCTCATTTCGTAAGAATTGGTCACACAATGCCAAATTTCTAAAATTTTTGTAACCTTTTTTTATGTGGGCATCTGTTCAATAGAATAGGAGTGGACGTGAGCCCAAGGGCTGCTTTTTTCAAGTATACGTGTGGAACATTGTCTGAGGACGTTGACCCTCTCCTGGGAAATCTGGGTAATGCTGTGTATCCAAACAGTCATCGCTATTGATAGGGTAGAAAAGTACAGATACCGCGAGCCTTTTCATAAACAGATACGAACCAGTCCGCAAACCTCTTCGGAGTACCCATGCATACAGACGATACTGAACATTAAGTGGAGAGGTAGCAAGATACAGAGGGCTGAGCTTCAAATAAACAAAAAGGTATTTAGGATATTCCCACGTTGTCTCACAGAGCACAGAGTCAGATGAATTTCTTTTTTAACTATTTACTTTCACATGAAAATAAACATAGAGTAGAAGACAACGAAGCTTCACGATGTGGTACTCACTGCCACCCAATAAATCTTAGCCAAAATGAGCTTATTATAATACTTCACAAAATCATCTTTTGAATAGTTCCGGAAAGGCGTGTACTCGCTGCGAAAAGAATGGCTTCGGCACGAGTGACGGTGGAGTTGCGATTAGAACTGCTGAAGGGCGGAAGAAAAAAATTTTTGCGCTGAGCTCCGAGACTGTAGAATGTCCAAAAATTCCAATCCTTGAGTTGGCTCACGAACGGTATCAAAGCAAAACACCTTGTAAAGTCGAGAAATGAAGCAGAGGAATGCGTGGAGGGGTGCGCTTCGTTGCACGCGCCCGTCGAAACTAGGTCACGTCGCAGCTGTCGCATGCGGCAGGTTAGCCTGCGATACTTGATGGACGTCGCAGTTGTCAGTTGAGCACACCATCTGTACTAGGTCCACGGCAGTCAGCTAAAAAAGGACATAACGCGGAAAAGTGCAAATCATTCGCTCCACTGACATTTAGTGGTACTGTAATTTCATCTCGAGGGTGCGCCGCGCGCGAAGTGGGGCGGGGTGACGTACTTCGCGCAACGGACGTTCTCCGCGTGTGAAAACATAGGGAAGATGAAGCCTCCATTACTATAACCTGGCCACTATGTGCATCGCAAACTCGTAAAGAAAATAAATAGTTCAACCAATCATTCAAGTAGACAATTCCTATAAAATCATATCACACTTAAGGGAGAAACAAGATAAACTTGCAAGATAAGTTGAATTGTTGTATACGTGTTCCCACTAATAGTGTATCCAGGTGGAATGCAAGGAGCAGGATCAGCAGCAGGAGGAGCAATCTCTGGAGGAGCCACATGGAGCGGTTCATCTCAACAGATCAATGAAGGACCTGGACCAGTAGTATCCGAAGGTCAAGGTGTGTCAGTCTATTTGAATAGACGATTCTAATGAGGCCATACCTCGTTTTAAAAAAGAACGAACCATCATGCAATTCAACTTAAATTGTTGTGAACATGCTCTCATTAGCAATGTAT